AACAATAAGACAAAAGTAGCTGTTAGTTGCAAATACTAAATACGCATTAGAAAGTGCAACGATGCATTAGGTTACCATAGTGAACAAGAGTGATCAGGAGAACAATGATCATGATGGCCAATGACGCAATGACGCCTAGGAGCACCAGAATGGTGGTCTGCTCCAGCGGATCCGGCTCAGTGGGCGAGTAGGGGACGTACTGCTTGACGCAGGCGTCTCCCTCCAGAGACAGTTCGGAGATGAAGTTCTTCAGAGCTCCCAGAATACGGCGGCGAATGACTCCCAGAGACATGCTGTTCTCGGACTGGTGGTTGTTGTTGCTTGTTGGGGAAGACGGTCAGGTACTCAGGTGTGGAATGAGAAGAATACAGGCACGAGAGAGCTCGGGAGAGAGGAAGGACAAAGAAGGAGAGCGAGAGCCAAACTGGCAGAGACCGAGAAGTGTTGTTGAGACCTCGTCAGGGGGAACGCGAAAGCTCAAATGAGGAGCAGCAGAAGGGAAAGTGTCTTCACGCAATGTTGTTCTTCCAGTGCTGCTGCCGCTACTGTCGCTGCTGCTGCCACTGTCAAAGTTAGAGCGTAGCTGCGCGTCTGCTGTATTCTTCAGTAAACACAAAGGGTGGCGTGCGAATCGCCCGGCGGCGGCCGCTGACTCAGAAATGACTGGTTGATCATCGACGCTGATAACAGCAGCACCACAAAGTCGTCACAAAGATTTGGGGTGAGAAACGAGGAGAAGGAACGCTTCCTGGTAAGATAAAATTAATTTGCTCAGAGCACCATCGCAGTCTGAAGAGCAGTTTAATATTTTGGTGTAAATTGTAATAAAATGGCGATAGATAAATAATTTAAGAAAGAAAGTTCAGAAGTGGGAAACTACAAATGAATGTGCGCGCATCTGAACACTGCAGTGCGGTGAGATCAATGCACAAGATAAGATAAGGTAGCACTGTACGGCGGCGGCGGCGGTTGACACTGTTTTGGTGCGTCCTACTACTACTACTACTCGAGAGGCTGATAGCCCGGCCGAGAGCGAATCTTGGTGATAAAGTACATGACGAGGAGCAGCAGGACGCCCAGGACGACCAGATTGGCGATCAGCAGGAGAACGTTGATCAGCGAGAGGTACTTGCCGTCGCCGCTGTACTGCTCAATGCCGCACTCCTCGTCCCAGTTGGCCACCTTGAACTGCTCCACCAGCTCGAGGAAGGTCTCCAGCGGACAGAGCGGAGGGCTGCCCGCCAGGTGCACCTCCTTCCCGGCGCACTTTGGCAGCGAGAGGGCGTAGGCGTCCTTGAAGGTGCTGCTGCTGCTGCTGCCGCCGCTGGGCAGGTTGTTGTTCTTGTCCTGCAGCAGGGACATGGTCTCGTTCATGTACTTGACGGCGATAAAGTAGCCAGAGTCGGTGCTGGCACTGGTGGTCACGTTGCTGCCATCGCCGACCAGCTGGTGCAGCTCAAAGAAGAGCGCCGCGCCGTAGGGAATGAAGATGCCGTTCCAGAGGTCCAGTGCCCAGAGGAGGGCGGCCACCTTGGTGTCGTGCGAGGAGAAGAGCATCAGCTTGTTCTGGTCGGCGTTCTCCACGTCTCGAATGGACCGCTTCTGGTGAAAGGCATCGGCCAGGGTGGCCAGCAGCTCACCGGCGCGGACGCGCTGAATCAGCCGCGAGTTCCACTCGTTGTTCCAGCGGGCGTAGCTGAAGACTTTCAGCTGGCGAACCACCTCCACCTCGCGCTCCTTTGTCCAGTTGAAGCCGCCGGGCATTGAGCCAGCGTTGAGCCGCTCCGACCAGAAGAGGCCATTCTCGTGCTCGATGATGGTGTTCTCGTGAAAGCGGTCCGCCTCGATGATCTGGTCAACCTTCAGGCCGGAAACGGTGGACACTTCGGCGAGGAGGGCGGCGTGTTCGGCGAGGAGCGCCTGCATTGCCGGAGAGGTGAGAATCGCCTGTCGTTCGGCTTCCGCTTTCGGACAGGGTCGCTTGGTGCGCAGCAGCGAGTCATCATTGGGCGGGAGAAAGGAGGCCACGGGGATGGGCTGCCAGAGCTTCGCCAGCGGCAGCGGAGAGCCGTTCTTGTCCCACTGCCAGGTGCTCGAGTTGGGTGGGTAAGAGCCTGTGGGGAGGAGAAGGACAAGGACATTCTAGTTAGTAAACAACCACAGCATTCCAGCGACTTACCAGCGAGCACCAGCTGGGCGCTCTCCAGACAGCGGTCAATTGCACTGCTTCGCGCAAAAATCTCCCTCGGCGAGAAATCATCGCCCAGGTAGTGGCCGTACGTGTGGCGAATCATCTGCCCGAGGCGAAACATTCGCGCCCGCCCCTCGTTGGTCAGCTGGTCGAGGCCGTGCGGCCAGTCGGCCTGCCTTCTGAAGGGGTCATTGGGAAAGAGGGGTTCCAGTGGGGCGCGATCACCGTGGCGGAAGACGATCTGCAGGTGGCGGAGAACGGTGGCTGGTGCTGGAGAGGGAGTAGTCGATGGAGGTGCCGTTGTGGTCGTAGTGGTGGTGGTAGTGACCTTCGTCGTGGTTGTTGTTGTTGTTCCATTTTCTGCTGNTGGCTGGTGCTGGAGAGGGAGTAGTCGATGGAGGTGCCGTTGTGGTCGTAGTGGTGGTGGTAGTGACCTTCGTCGTGGTTGTTGTTGTTGTTCCATTTTCTGCTGCTGAAGAGAAGGGCGAGCAGAAGAGAACGATCAGCAAGATGGTGGTTTTCAAGAGGTGGTGATGGTGGAGCGGTAAGCTCGAAGACGGCCGAGGTGATGCCATGGTGATTGATAA